TGAACCTGTAAGTAAAAGTGGATACTCTGCCCGTAAAGTACACATAGTAACCCTTGCTGGATGGCTTTCAGCTTGATGAGCTCTGTGCCTCCTAGACAATTACAATGGTTGTCACAAAGTGCTGCTGATCTCCTGCACGCCTTTTTTTGCAGCCACTTCCTGTCCACCTACACTCCCTGACACTTCTCAGGGCGGGTTTCCTGATGGTGACAACAGGGGACCGTATCTGTGCAATGTGTGCTGAAATTACTCCATCGGAAGCCGCCGGGTGACAACGCAGGTTGGGAGACCAGGATAGAACTTTGTCACCCTATAACAGGAAGTGCCCAGACAAGAGTCTTCATGGCAAGATCACCAGGGTATTGGGTAAAGGACTTTTACATACCTCATCCCCGCACCCCTGGCGGTCAGCGCTCACTTCTCTTCCCTACGCTCTGGCTTGGGAATGGTCCCTCGGCATCCTCATGTATAATGCATGGCTATGGGCCCTTGCATTGTACATGATGATGTCAGCGGGCCCCCAGCGCACCGGGGGTAAGGGGGGGGAGGAGGCTGCAGGGGCCGGTCTTGGAGTAATCTGTGTAATTGCCCAATAGGAGTGCTGACCAATCAGTAATTGAGGTCCATAGTCCCTGCCAACCCCCTTTAGGCCTGGATGGGGTTTGCTGTCCTGGATGGGAATTGGTGGTCCAGACTGGAATTGGTGGCTCATATGGGGTTTGGGGGCCTGAAAGGGGGTTGGTGGCCCGGATGGGGAATGGTGGCCCAGATGGGGATTGGTGGCCCATATGGGGTTTAGGGGCTCAGATTAACATTGGTTGCCTGGATGGGTGTTGGTGGCCCATATGGGAACTGGTGGCCTGGATGGGGGTTGGTGGGCCAGATGGGGTTTGGGGGTCCGGATGGGTGTTGGTGGCCCGGATGGGAACTGGTGGCCCATATGGGGGTTGGTGGCCTGGATAGGGATTGGTTGCCCATATGGGGTTTGGGTTCCTGGATGGGGGTTGGTGGCCTGGATGGGGTTTGGGGGCCTGGATGTGAATTGGTGGCCTATATGCGGTTTGGGGGCTCAGATGAACATTGGGTGCCTGTATGGGCATTGGTGGCTCATATGGGGTTTGGGGGCCTGAAAGCGGGTTGGTGGCCCGGATGGGGAATGGTGGCCCAGATGGGGTTTGGGGGCTCAGATTAACATTGGGTGCCTGGAAGGGTGTTGGTGGCCCGAATGGGAACTGGTGGCCTGGATAGGGATTGGTTGCCCATATGGGGTTTGGGGGCCTGGATGGGTGTTGGTAGGCCGGATGAGCATTGGGGGCCCGGACAGGGCTCAAGTGTTTTTGCACGGCGTGTATGTTCTGTGGTCAGTGTAGATGGAAATGGCGCTCGGCGTTCTCTGATCTCCTCTCTTGCCGGCTCACATCGGGCGGCTCCTCGGATTGACTCCCAGCATGCACCGGGCTGAACAAGGAAACCTAATTTGGTGGAAATATGCAAATCAGGCCGCAACATTTTTCAATTTGCATAATTTTAGATAACATATTTGATGTCAATGTGTCTCCCAATCTTCTGTTCATTATTGTTATTAGCGCCATTTGTTAGGAAGTTGGCAGCTCGCTCTGGAGGGACGCGGCTGTGTGCTCCTGTGCGTGCCCAGGAATACCAACGCTGGCAGCGACAACGGCGTACTGTCACAGCGAGACGAGGGGACCGTACTGTGTTCTTAAAAGCTCCGCGCCACTCAGGAGGGGGGAAGGGGATCAACCCACCGGGTCAGGTGTTCATAGTCAGATTTCCATCACTTCCTGTCCAAGTGACACCTTATTGCTCTCTGACAGCACAGGGTGTCACCGGGGCCAGCGGTGGGGAGAAGACTCACCAAATGGGAGATAGAGAGCAATGCAAACTCAATGGAGGTCCTCATCACACCTGAGCGTTCTGCTGTGTTTCACCGAAGTGCATCAACATGAGAACCGGCCTACCTTCTCCATAAGGGATCCAACCCAGGGATGGTGGGAGCTCCTCATAATGGGCACAGCGGGTGTACAGACCCGGGGACTCAGCACAGGGATGGTGGGGGTCCCTCATAATGGGCACAGCGGGTGTACAGACCCGGGAACTCAGCACAGGGATGGAGGGAACCTGCAGAGATCTCACCAACAGAGTCCCCAAAACATAGAAGAGACAGTCAGGAGGTCCAACTGTCCAACATCCAGCAAACACCAAAATATCAGATTTGGGCGGACTGACCATTTTCCCAGCAGGATGTTTTTTTAATGAATAAATCCACACAACACCTATCTTCATTCTGGTAGTTTCCTCCAGAACCCCGGTGCTGCGAGGCGAGAGAGCGCTGCGCACACTAATCGGTCTGGAGGGGAACGCGGGCTCGGCGCAATCAATGGCGCCTCGTGTAAAACACGGTGAAATAGGATACGGCCGGCTTGGCTTCCATGTAGTGACACGATCCCACCGCCTTGTAATGAGGACCGTTATACACGCCGGCTCATTTCTCTTCCTGACGCTTCACATCGTCTCTGCACGAGCCGGAGAGACGGCCCGTAATGGCATCGGATTTGTACCGGTCCCCCGGGGCCGTTTCATAGTCTCCACCGGCCTCCCCCCCCGACTGTGTTACATGAGCGCAGTGTCATAATGTATCAGAATGTAGCCGTACCCATAATGATTGGAGATCAAGGGTTAGAACCTCCGTAGGTTTCTCATTTCTCTGAAACCTCAGTGATAATGTGATAGAAGGAGGGCCTCCCACGGCAAAACACAAAGGGCCGGCCCCAAGCTCCCCAACACCAATGATTTTTAAAAAGCATTTATAAACACACCAGCCAGAACAAAAACTTACCTCGGCCCCGGCCTTCAACCTTGACCAGGAGGCAAGGGTGATGTCACACCTCTATGAGCTTGTTGGCCATCCCATTCCAAAACCAAGGATAATATTATAGAGGTTCCCCTGTACATAACATCCTCCACTCCTCTGGGAAGGCTCCCACAAGATTCTGAAGTGTGTCTGTGGGAATTTGTCCTCATTTGGTTGGGTATTGATGTTGGATGAGAAGACCTGGCACACCATCATTCATCCCAAAGGTGGTTGGTAGGGTTGAGGTCAGGGGTCTGTGCAGGACACTCAAGTTCCTCCACACCAAACTCATTGAGCTATGTTGGATGAGAAAATCTAGCATGCAATCTGGTTCCAATTCATCCCAAAGGTGTTCAGTAGGGTTGTAGTCAGGTCTCTGTGCAGGACACTTGAGTTCCTCCACACCAAGCTGGTCACACCATGTCTCTATGGAGCTGGCTTTGTACACAGGGGACAGTCATGGTGGAACAGAAAAGGGTCTTCACCAAATGGTGACCACAAGGTGGGGAGAGCACAATGGTCTACAATGTCATCCATCCCAAAGGACTTCAGTAGGGTTGAGGTCAGAGCTCTGTGCAGGACACTCCAGTTCCCCCACACCAAACTCATACCATTTTGAATGAGAAGACCGAGCATGCAATCTGGTTCCACTTCATCCCAAAGGAGTTCACTAGGGTTGAGGTCCAGACTCACAAGATTTCTCTGGAAATTTGTGCCCACTTTGAGGTCCGGTGCTGATGTTGGATGAGAAGACCTGGCTAACAATCGGCGTTCACTAGAATCACATGAACTCAGTGGCGTCACAAAGGGGGTGCGGCCCGCACCCGGGTGCCACTATTGGTGGGGTGACACCAAAATCACTGACAGTCATTTTGGTGTCACCCCCTGTGAAAAGTCAGGCACTCGGTCACGGTCCGAGAGCCCGACAGTGTCCGGAAGGAGGAGGGGACCCGGAGGGTGAACGTCCCCTCCTCTCTCTGCCGGCGCCCATCACAAAGATGGCAGGCATCAATAGGATGATCGCGCACGCGCTCTGCAACGTCATGCGCGATGGCGTCACGGCAGGTGTAACCCGGTCTCCGGGTGACACCCAGCCTCGGGGCGACCCCTGCCTGAACTCAATCGTTTGGAGGGGCGTCCACATTATTTCGGCCACATAGTGTATATGTCTCTGTGATTTTGGATTTTGCCTGGAGCGCGCTTTTCATTCGGCGCGGCGAATCTGCCTGCTCTCCGGGGGGAACGATTTGCCGGCTCTTCACATAATATGTTCTGATTAAAGCCGCGCTTAGTTTAATTTCTATCTGTATCGGAGAGCGCCTTCCCTCCAGTCTCCTCCGCTTGTAATCCGCTCGCTTCCTTTCATCCCCCCGTCACGGCTCCCCTCTCAGTGAAAAGACGATAATTGATTTGCAATTTTGTTCAGAAAGCAGATGTTGTCTTTTTTTGTCGCGGCCTCCTCGTTAATTACGCTCGTGTCTTTTTTTTTTACAGGTGCCGAGTTGTGAAGAATGGCGTCTTTCTACAGCTGCCTCCTCCTGTTGGTTTTAATTAGCAACTCCTTGATGGGCGCAGGAGCGTTCGAGCCCAGAGCCAAGCGCCGGAGAGTCTCCGACAAGTACGGCGAGGACGCCTGGCTTCACCAGCACCAGGAGAGGCCTCACCGGAGGTCCGGGCTGGCCAGGAAGGAGAGGACTCAAGGCGGAGAGGAGGTTAGGGGTTCCCTGCTCCAGGTGGGGGACATTGGGCAGCCGGAGACTCTGAAACAAGACAGGCTGCAGAGTTTGGAACTTCCGTACAGCCAGAGGGAAAACCAGCCGCCGGGCACGCACACGAAAGGACGCAGGCACAACAAGGAGCAGAGGCGGGCCAATCAGAAGGAGCGGGTGAAGCAGCACAAAGGTACGTGGTTACTGATTGCATACTTACCCCTATTATTATAACTGCGGGGGGGGAGGGGAACAAGCCTTCTTTATTCCCAAAGCCGGGTGTCACCCGTGAACGGAGACCGGGTGACACCCCCCCGCCGTGATGTCAGCGCACATGCCCGGTCATCTTTTTGACATTCACCCGGCGGGATGAGGTATGCCCCTCCCCTTTCCTGACACTGTCGGGCTCTCGGTGCATGACCGAGTTACCAACTTTTCAGAGGGGGGTGACACCTTAATGACTGTCCAATGGTGGCACCCAGGTACGGGCCACACCCCCCTTGTGACACCACTGTTATTCCCTACCATATCCTTAAGTACTAATGACTTCAAATCTGCAGCAGTAGGTAAATGTATAGAAACTATTTATAGAAATCATTTATTTTTGGTCACTGGGTCCTATGAAGGTCGCAGGTAAGAAGGCCCAAGCTGGTATGCGCATGCTACTGCAAGGATGACATACGCCATGGCCTAGGACAGTAGGTGGTACGTCTAGCAGCACACGTAGGCAGTAGCACATTCCGGTGTATAGTCAAAGACTCCAGACCAATCCAACTGGGACCCCATTATTGCCCGACCTGTAATTGGCTGTGTACAGTCCCCCCGCTCTGGGCCCACACTAGAGAACAGCAAAACCGAAAGTTTTTCTTCACTTCCTTATAAGCTGCGAACATAACATTAGATATTGGAATGAACATATTACATTGTAACAATTGCCCGTTTGTTGCCCAAATATTGTCACCATTTCCCTTCTGTTGGCCTGCGTAGTGTCATCAACGCCCTCTTTTTACCTGCGTAGTGTCATCAACGCCCTCTTCTTACCTGCGTAGCGTCATCAACGCCCTCTTCTTACCTGCGTAGCGTCATCAACGCCCTCTTCTTACCTGCGTAGCGTCATCAACGCCCTCTTCTTACGTGCGTAGCGTCATCAACGCCCTCTTCTTACCTGAGTAGCGTCATCACCGCCCTCTTCTTACCTGCGTAGCTTCATCAACGCTCATCAACGCCCTCTTCT